GAAAGAAAAAGAAAGAAAGAAAAAGAAAGAAAGAAAAAGAAAGAAAGAAAAAGAAAGAAAAGCTGGACATTGATTCATTACTGTGAGGAAAAGCACCAAACTCTCAGAAACAGTCGATCACTCGCAGAGCAATCTATCACAGAAACTAGTAGCAGGTGACCCCAATTCTGCTCCTAGGGCACCTGAAACAAAAGTGGGGAGAACAGCCCAAGAGGCCCTGGTCTGAAGGAACTCCCAAGCTAACAGCACGTGGGAAGCTTCGGGGTGGCACAGCCACGCAGAAAGGCTGGATATAGACAGAGGCACACAGAGTCTCGTGCGCGCAGGAGCCGAGGGCACCTGCGGGCAGGACTCCCTTGCAGGCACAGAGGGAAGGCGGGGCGGGCTGTACCTTTCAGCCGCAGGTACTTGACCTGGCTCGGCCGCTGCTGCAGCTCCCGGAGGGCGCGGGAGCGGGCGCTGCCCGAAGGGGCGGCCGCCTCGGCGGCGCTGTACAGCTCGGTGAGCAGCCCGCTCACCAGCGACGAGGTGCGGCTGGACCGGCCACTGCCGGGAGCCGCCTCGTCCTCATCCTCGTCCTCTTCCTCGGCCAGGCTGTCGGCGCTGCTGCCCGCCCTGCCGCCCGCTCCGGCCTCCGCCACATCCATCTTGCCCGCCGCCGCCGCGGGTTACGGGCTCGGCCCGTTCCGCAGCCACCCGCCGGGAGGGGCGGGCAGGGGAAAGGGAAGCGGGCGGGAAAGCCCAGGCAGGAGCGCCGCGCCCGACKCCGCTCCCTCCCTGCGCACCGTGGAAAAGGCCGGGGCCGGGCGGGGGCGGCGGGGGAGGGTGGGCTGGGGTGCTGCACCTGCCGAGGGGCGGGGACCTCGCTCCGCCCCGGGGCGGTGACACCAGGCGTGGTACCCGTGCAGTGTGCAGCTGCGACAGAGGTCACCACCGTCGTGCCGGCCATCCCACTCCTGCTCCCCCGGTGGAGCGGCGGCCCGGCTTTGCCAACAGTTGAGTACCTGTACTACGGCCGGTACCCGTGCAATCCGGAGCGGATGGCGAGGCCCGCAGAGCCGGGCGCACCTGGGCTCTGGCTGCGGCACTAATGGCGGTGTAGGCAGGCCCGCCACACGAGTAACAGCCGTGACTAATTCAGGTCAGGAACTGACAGAATGGCTAAGGTTGAGTGGTCCAACCTCCCTGCTCGTCCCAGAGCACATTGCACAGGACTGCATCAAGACAGTTCTTGAGTATCTCCAGCGAGGGAGRCTCCACACCCTCTCTGGACAACCTGTTCCAGTGCTCAGTCACCCATACAGTAAACAAGTTCTTCCTCATGTGCAGGTGGAGCTTCCTGTGCATTAGTTTCTGCCCGCTGAACCTCTTGTCCTACTGCTTGATTGAGATGACCATTCTTCCACCGAGTACAGCTGGCTCCGTGCTCTGGACACGCCTCCCATGGCTGTTTATCCAGCACTCGGTAGCGGAGGTCAGGGCCGCAAGCGCCGCCGAGCGCAGAGCAGTGCGGGGGCGGGGCCTGGGGCGGGGCCGCGGTTCCCTCCCGGCCACGTGATCCTCCCCCCGCTCCCGGGTCATATGCCGGGGCGGGCCGGGCCCGCGCGTTGCTGCTCCGGCCCCGCGGCCGCTCTTTGCTTGTGGCGGCCCCGACCCGCCCGGCCCCGCCATGTCCCCCGCCGTGTCCCCCGCCGTGTCCCCTACCGTGTCCTCCGCCGTGTTGCTCCGGGCACTGCCGCTGGCCGCGCTGCTGCTGCTCAGCCCGGCGCAGACAGCCCGGCAGGCACGGAGGCCCAACGTGGTGCTTATCCTCACGGACGACCAGGATGTCTGCCTGGGCGGCATGGTAACCCCGCGGCGGGGGGCGCGGGGCTGGCGGCAGCGCACCGAGAGGGGACCCGCCGCCCGCCCGCCGGGGTCGCGTACCCGGCTGTCGCTGGGAGACACCGGGCTCGGAGGCTGCGGCGGGCGCGGTGTGGGGCGGCGGGCGCTCCGGCCGCGGGGGTCGGCGCGCTGGGCCCAGCCCACAGCCGGGCAGGGGCTCGCTGCGGCCTCAGGCCAGGCAGCTCCGCAAAAGGAACATCGCGGTGGGGCTTTTGCGGGTGGGATGAGGCGCTCTGCGGAGCCACCGAGGCTCGATTGGGCCGGGGCTGGGGCGCCTCTGGAGCAGCCTATGCCGCTGCAGATACCYCTGGAAACTCCCTGCACTTGTTCTCGCTTGTGCAATCGCTGTGGCCACGACAGGCCCTAGCGAGAAGGGCACTCTTAGTGTCCTGTCGTAGTGATGCCTAAAAACTGTGGTGATGGCCATTTTCCAGGCAGCTTTTTTCAAGTCCCCTGCTTTACTTGGCACCCTTGAGTTTTTAGCTGATACCCTTTTGGTGTTTTCCTTTCAGACCCCCCTAAAGAAGACTAATGCTCTCATTGCGCAAATGGGAATAACTTTCACAAATGCAGTAAGTGTTTGCACTAACTCTCTGAATTTCTGGAGCGTGTATATATATGTATTTTGTATTTCGGTAATCTGAGGTCTCAAAAAATGGTAATAGTTTTTTTAAGCCTGTAGATATGGATGTGGGTTTTTTAAAATTCAGTCGCTACCTACTTTGAGGTCTCAAAATGAATATAACTTACAATCGTGTTCAAAATCTATAAAGTTTCACTTTCTGAAAGCGCTCATGCTCACTTCCTTAAACTGTAAAGTATGACTGTGTGGTCTGCATATTTTTATTACAAGCTGAGAAGAATTAAAAGAAGCTGCTTAAAACTTTCATCAGCTTCATGCACAGTAAAAATTCATTTCCCTCTTTCATATTCTAGTGTTTTGGCTAAAATAACGGAGTGAGTATTCAATGATCAAACAGTATTTTAGTTTGAAGGAATATTTAATTTGAATTTAGAATTCTTGCTCCTGTCTAAAAACCATGTCCAGTCCAGTGGTGAGGAGCTGAAGGGTGTGTGCTGCAGAGACCTGAAACTGGTTTCATGTGCAGTTTTTCACTAGTGAAAATACTTGGGATGTAATTCTGGGTGTTCAGAAAGAAGTAGGTTTTCCTGTTGGTAAACATTTTAAATCAACCTGTTAGCTGATATTTGAAAACTATAAATTTTGATATAGAATTGTTTTACTATGCCAGTCTTAAACCTCTTCATTCTGTTTTTCTAGTATGTTGCCAGTGCACTTTGCTGTCCCAGTCGAGCTAGCATTTTAACAGGAAAATATCCACATAATCATCATGTTGTCAATAACACTCTGGAAGGGAACTGTAGCAGCAAGTTATGGCAGAAGATTCAAGAACCATACACCTTCCCAGCGCTGCTCAAAGCAATGTGTGGTTATCAAACATTCTTTGCTGGAAAGTATTTAAATGAGGTATTTGATGCAATTTTTTATTTTTGTGGTTTGGCTTAAAAGTTAAGTATCCGCTGAGGCAAATTCGTTGGAAGAACAGATATCTTCATAGTTCTTTTACAGCAGTTACCCAGCATTTTATTATTGAGTCACTTGTATATGTGTGCTTTTGGTTTTTCTTCTTTTCAAGTAGGCTATGGTTTCTAGTAGTTTATAGTAAGATACAAAATTTGGTACTGAAAGCACTAAGGTTCAGTGTTCTTCTTCTGTGATGGAATTGGATTTCGAGCTAGATGAGCTACCGGGTTCTTACTAACATATTTTCTTTTCCACTTTTTCATGGTGGAAAACATTGGTGGTATAATAGAACAATGGAACATGAATTTTCATAGCCAGGCGTGAATTTGTGTCTGCTGATGTTTTTGAGGCTGTAAGGGGAAGGAAATCTTTGCTGGCTTCTTCTGAGCATCCCTTGACTCAGCAGAGTCTCTCATCCCTGCAGTTAGGCGAGCCATGTAGATGGGAGATGGCAGCCCTGAGAAAACCCGTTGTGTTGCTCTGAGGCATCCTCTGTTTTGAGTTTGGCACTGATTCAGCAGCTACTTTCCCTTTTTTGCTGTCTTAAAAGCTAGTTATTGTAGATTATTTGGCAATGAGGTGGCAAGAAGCTGGCATTACATAAAGTTCCTACCCTGTTGGGGATGGATGAAGGAAGCTGTTGGTCTATGTGGAACTCTCTTTAGTATCTCGTGAACTGTTATCACAAAACSTACAAGTGTCTTGTCACATGGATGTTTTGAACACCTCTCATTTACCTGATGATGTACCTGTTCACCAGGATCTTTGCATCTTTTCACATGCTGAATAGAACAGGGAATAATATTTAGATTTTATTGATGATTGCCAAGCTTTCAGTTATTGTCTACTTATTGAACCCTGGTTTCTTTAACAGGCTCTACATGTGTTTTTATATGCATGTGTATGTGGTTGTCCCCATTCTGAAATTGAATTTGGCTTAGCATGGTTTCCRAATAGTGTTGAATAAAGCACATGATATGTCAAGCTTTGATTCATCATAATTGAAACTGTGAGTCATGATCTGTCTTTTTTCAGTACGGAGCAGAGGATGCAGGAGGAGTAGGTCATGTCCCTCCTGGATGGAGTTTTTGGTATGCTTTGGTATGTGACCATTCTTTTTTTTAACTACTTAATTTTCGTTGTTTCATAATCCAACTCATGTTCTAACTTTGCTGGTCATAAAAGAGCAGGAAAAGAGCATCTAACAATTTATTGCAATTTTTCTTCCCCTTTTTCCTTTTTGTATATCAGATCCTTGGCTTTCACAAAGGGTACTCCTACTGAGTAAATAAACAATTTGTAAAGCCCAAGCAGTGTGAGATAGCACTAAAACCAGTTTTGTTGATGGAGACCACATCTAAGAATTTTTGCAGTATCCTTATGGCAAATGCTCATAACCTATTTGACAAATGCTCGTGGGTAACTCATTTGGATTATTTCAAGTGATCAATGTACATATTGCTTTGCATAAGTATCTGTGTCACATTTCTTTTTCACAGGAGAAAAATTCAAAGTACTACAACTATACTCTCTCAGTAAATGGCAAAGCACGAAGGCATGGCGAGAACTACAGTGTAGATTATCTGACAGATGTACTGGTAAGAAATTTTGGAATGAGTGGTACAGATGCTGCTTATGACCAGATAATGCCTTGTGCTGGGGAAGGGTGGGATAATTTATCAGGCTGTATTAGTTCATAAATAGACAATTGTACTGTTGTGATGATGGGAAGCCATTTATCAGCAAAGCAAGTTTCTGAGTTTATTTAGAAATGAGGTTTATGTTCATGAGCTGCAGAGAGGAAAGGGATTCCAGCTGTCCTTTTGCTAGCCAGTAGCATCACTGATGAGTTAATACTGACTGCTGTGCTGCAGGAGGAGCAAGTAGGCAGTGATTTAAATTACTTCATAGTAGGATACATTTCATTATAATAGGGAACTTCTGTAAYAGATTAACTGGGCCAAGATTTCAGTAGGAAGCATGTAAAAATAAACTTCACACTGTGTTTTGTTTCTTAGGTATTATGATGTGTAAGTATCTTATAGTCTCCAACTCCATCAGGCTGGTAACTTGTAAATATTAAAGACTAATGAGCCCTTCATCATATATGAGGGCAATGCGTAGCTGACCAGGGGCGGTTTTAGCCTCTATCTGCATGAAATACAGGGAGGTAACAAAGATGTCACATACTTTAAGGAAGGTTGGAAGAGTTACTTCAGCTTTCTTAAGGGCCGGTTTGGCAAGTAGCAGTGGCTGGGTGGGGAGGGGGAAATGTCCCCCTGCCTGCAAAGCTGGAGTCATAATTTGACACGCTGTTGCAGTGTATAGGTTGGTACTGCAGCATTCACAAAAATTCTTCTCTAGAGATGTCTCTTTGTGCAGTCTTGTTGTGTTTCATTGAGACCCTGAAGAGTTTCATTCCCCTGGGTGCTAGAGCACAGACAGCTGCTCACTAGCAACAGCACTGATTGATGTTTCTTAGGGTACTGAACAGCTGTCTGATTAAATTTAGATTTACATCGTCTAAAACTAGATTGGTATTGATAAACCAGAAGTGAGACTATCCTATTACTGCTGTTGTATAGGGTTTTTTTGATCCTTCAACAGCTCATAAGCATTTTGTCCAACAGGTCATTGGGCATAAACCCCTTATTTGTGGTATGTTACCTATTGATACAGTAGTGTATTAYGATTATGATTATCAGTGTGTTGCATTCTACTTTCTTGCTATAGTTACCAAACATACTCAGCATTTCAGCACATATTTAATTCACTTGCTGGGCAGTGCACAGGAGTAAATTGCTTATGCAAAGTACCTGTGTTGCTTGATGTGATCCTCAAGCTTTCTTTTCCTAAGGGCACCTGGGTACTTGAGTCTGGTATTAAGAATCCAAATACCTGAATCTTTTTACTGCAGTTCTCACGTGTTGCAGTTTAAGCTTCCTAATGAAATCAAAGTTGGCTACTGCTATGAGTTTCTGAATGGTTCTTATACTTTCTTGACTGCTGTCATATAACTGAAGTTGAGCCCTACTTGCTTAGATGTTAAATTTAGAAGGGAGGAAGAGGGAATTCCTGGTGTATTTTTCTTCTAGAGAAAGGAAAGGATATCCAAAATGGGGTATACTAATCAGACAGGGAAAAAATGTTGCAAGATTTGAATACTGAAGAACTCACCTACAAATTACTTTGAAGCTTTAATTTTGAAGGCTGACCGAGGGGAGGTGAAAATGAAATTTGCAATTTCTTCTAACTTACCATCTGAAATTGTATATTGGCTGAAGTGAAAATGAAAGCACAGTGAAGTGATGTGAACGAATGCAGTCTGGTCTGTCATCAACTGTTGTAGTCATGTATCATGTTGTAGAATGAGCATATGCTATAAACAGTGGGGTTGATTTTTTTTTTCCCAGAACTGTTGCTATTTCCAAAGAAAGTTGAAGCTCCTAAACTGATTTCTGTCAGACAGGAGATGGCATTTGAAAGTCTCAGACTTGGACTATGCTAAAGAAAGCTCTGATTTGACTTCATTAAACCAGAGTATAGGTGGTTTTTGTTGGTACTTGGAATAGGCACAAAATTCTAATGAGCTTTCCAGGTCTAATTAATGCAAAGGTCTGTAGTAGAAAGTGGTTTGGAGATGTGGGAAAAATTACTTGTTTAACATGAGCACTTGGGATTATTTTTATCATGAGCTGCTGCTCTAGACATTTGTAGGTGAGCAGGCAGTAAGTTTTTGAAATAGTTTAAATGTTTGCAGTATTACCAAGCTCTAAATAAGTTATGAATGTCTAGTTTGGATTTGTCAAATACTTGGTGTTTTCCTCGAGGCATGACTTTTTTTCTCCAACAACACTCTTCATAGGCCAATATGTCATTGGACTTCTTGGAGTACAAATCTAATTTTGAACCCTTCTTTATGATGATCTCAACTCCAGCACCACACTCCCCTTGGACACCTGCTCCACAGTATACAAAGAGCTTTCAGAATGTCAGTGCACCAAGAAACAGCAATTTTAATATTCATGGCAAGGTAAGCTAACTAACAAGAACCTGTACAGCTTATTCTAGTTTGTGAGAACAGAAGGCATTGGCCCTGACTTGAATGTTAGGTTTAAACAGTAATTAGAATTGGTGAGTATTATGACTATTTAATCTGACCTTTACAGAGTGATTTAACATGATAAGCTTATTGTGCCTTTGGAATATTTTCATACTGATGTCTTTTAAAGAAAACAACATAGTGGCAAAAGTGATATGGTAATGCCATGGAATTATGATTGATACTGGGAAAAAGTTAATTGTTTCCAGACCAGTTTCCATGTCCAGTTTCCAGACTCTTCTGAAGCTCTTAAAAACTTCTTATAATTGCTCTATATAATAGGTAGTGTGCTACTCAAAGGCTTGGGTGAAGAATGGCAAGAGCCCTGTCTTCCTACACACATCTGGTCATGGATGGGAAGTCCATTCCTTGAGCTAGTGGCAAACCCTGTCTTAGGTGACAACCATGTCAGACTAATCAGAGGACCTTGAAATCATGACCCTTAGGGCCGAGGGTTACTAATGCTTTGAGAACTTGCCTTTCATTTGTTAAAATAACCTGTAACCAGAATTGCTGGGCCTAATGTTACAAACTTAGACATTCTTGTGACAGGGCACTACCTTCCACTGCCAGCAAATATGGCCAGATATGGTATAGCTCAGACTAATCTGCTGCAATTTACTTTGCCAATAAGTCAATGTCACAAGCAGTTAATTTGGTGAAATACTTAACTCACAGAAGTTTCATATTTTTCATTCATGTAGTTTAAAATATAGAACCCACTGCTGTTCAGTGTTCAGTCTTTTCACTTCAAGATTTGCTTCTAATTTTAAGACTGACATAACGTAGCCTAAATGCCTATCAGGAGCCCAGTCATACTTCAGGTCACTGTGACTCATTTAGTATAGAATAAAACTGGTTTTTAGCTGAGAACTGTAGCTTGCAAAATGACTGTGTGCTTATCACTGTGGTAGAAAAACATGAATGAAAGGGAAAAAAAGGGCTGCAGGCAGTAAATAATACTTTAGCCCAACCTTTTTATGTTTCAAACTAGGGAACAGGAATCAGATTGAAGTTTTTTCTTCCATGAAGGGATTTCAGATTTTGGCTTAAGACTCAATTACAGTGGTGGAGTGCTTTTAAAATAGTGATTTAGAAGTAACTTGACTTGAAATCAGCAGCTAGCAAAATATGCACAATGGAGTTCACTTATGTGGTGTGAAAGCTCTGCATATGTCTGTATAGCACAGAGCAAAATGCTAGACTTAATGTTTGACAATTAATATCTGTGGGTACACCAGTTTTACTAGAGGAACAGACTAGCATTACCTTCCTTCCTAGACATAGCTAATGTGCATTTCTGCAGCTTGCAATGTTGTGGTCATGGAGCCTAACTCTTCTTGGAGCTTCAGTGTTTTCTAGGGCTTCACTGTTCTCTAAGGCAAGCATGACTCCTGCAGTAGCAATAAACATGTACATAGTCTAAGACCCTCATTGATGTAATGCTTGCCTGACACTCTTGCATTGTACAGTCTTGACTCCTAAATGAATGTTGCCTCACTTGCTTATAGTGTGTGTGGGCAAGGGCTGCTAAGAGGAACCATTTAGGCAGAATCTCTGCATGAAAAATAGGAGTTAAGCTCTTGTGTATATTGCAGGTCAGAGTCTAACTCCTGCTTTGGATCCTCAGCTATTAATTGTATGAAATGATCAGCAGCTGTCTAGATTCCCAAGTAGAATTATGAATAGCCAGATGAGTTTTATCTAAGCTATTCTGAAAGAGAAGTTGATTAAGATATGTGTTGGGTATTGCCCTTGCATGCCTTATTTTTCCTGCAAGATCAGAGCACAGCTGTGTTCTAATTCTGTTGGCAGTATATTTCTATATTGTCTTGGTCTCCTTAAATTTCTCCAAGAATGGAGCACAGGGAGGCAGCAGGATTGGTGGACTGCTTTGTATATAAGTGCTGTAAGAGACTTGACAGGGAAGCAGATTTGACAACTCTGAGTCAGTGTGAAGTTTATTGAAATCCACAGAGGTGTTTGGGTGCTGTGTGAAGTTCTTGAAACTTCAGAGAAAGGTAGGAAGAACAAAATACTCATAAAGAGGAGGATTCTGCTGCATTAGGTGACTTACTTGTCTGGATGGTTGTGCCTTATGAAGCACTTCTAAGCACACCCCTTGTGAAAGGTGGCTGGTGCACAGGTGATGTCACCAACTCCTTTGTTTTCTGAAGATAGGATTTGTCACGCATTTCCGTACTTTTTTCCTCTCTCAGCTGAGATAGACTTAGTGTCACTCCAGAGAATTTTTGTATAACTGCTATGAAGGAGACAGCTGAATACAACTTAATTGAAGTAAAGTGGACACAGTATTAGGTCTCCATGCCAAAATTTTTTCCTTCAGTAGTCAAGAGCTGAAAACAGGGAACTGAGTAGTTGTAGGAGATATGAGTCACTTTGTTGTGTGACCCTAAAGCCTGAGCCCGTTCAGTCATTCACTTGTGACAGTACGGAAATTGCATAACAAGAGGCTCTATGCAGAGGAGTGACCAGCTAAATACAGGCTCAAGCTGAGGCTGATGAGTGGGTCATCTCTGACCTATTAAATGAAAAGTGTAAGGCTGCACTGACATGATTTTATTCTTTGTTCTGATCCCCTCTAATACTAACCTTCAGGTTATTCAAAACAGACCTTCCCACGTATTTGTATAGCAGCTGACCCAGCTCAGACTGGTCCTTCAATGTGGGAGCATCACTTCTTATATTAATTACATAATCTCCTTTACTTTGGAGTCATAGATGAGGAAAGAAAGAAAGAAAGGGGCCGTTTCTGAAAGTTTGGGATACAGCCAGAAGAGTCAATGATGCTGCAGCTAAAGAAATGCTCTTGTTTTGGAGTCAAAATCTAAATAAAATAGTCATGTTCTGCTTCTACCAGTAGTCTCCACCCCTGATTTCTTAGATCACCAAGAATCTGATAGTGGCACTGTTACAGATATTTGAACTTACCTGTTTTTAATTTAAGTAACTCTAATTGCTTTGAGTGCACAAGCTTTCCCACCACCTTTCTACCTGTTGGGATGCTTACCAATATTAGTCCCAAAAGTACCTGCTTTGGACAACCAAGTCCAATATTACAGTGATGCTCAATGCTTCAGATTGTTTTCCTCAGACCTTTCTTAGGCTATCACACTTCTTCCTCTGGGAGAGCCTTCTCTAGATCCTTTCACAATTTTCTTCCCTGAACTGCTTTGAAAAGATCCACATCTATTTTCTTCTCATCAAGGGCTGAGCGTAATGGGGCTGTAATGTATCCTATTCTTGAAACTTAGGTTTTACATGAACCAACAGTGAAAATCAGTCAGGTCAATTTGACAGCATTGCCTGACTTTTTTACAGGAATTACTTCTTTTGTAATTGCTCTAAGAATGGTTTAAAACCTAATACTTCTCTCGTACACTAATCTTTGTTGGTTTTTTTTTTATTTAGAACAAGCACTGGTTAATTCGACAAGCAAAGACTCCAATGACCAACTCTTCAATACAGTTTCTTGATGATGCTTATAGAAAGCGGTAAGAATTTTTTTGTTGCTTAAGGTTTCTAATCAGAATTTGTGAAGTGTGGGGTTTCTTTAAAAAGGTTGTAGTAAGTTTAACAATCAGTGTTAGTTTACCTCTGGCACTTGTCTCAGAAGACCTGACTTTGTTGACTTCTTGCAAATAAACTTGTCATTGGCTTCAGAAATACTATATTCACAAATGCTGCCATTGTTTGTCATGAAAAAGACCAATCACAATTGGTCTCTATTGCTTTTCTTTTAGTTCACAACAGGTTTTTATAAAAAAATGGCCTTACCTTCTACTTCACTTAATTCCAGATTCTTACATGGTGTGCATCAAATGTGGTTATCTATCTGCCAGCTAATCTCATTTATTAATCTTGCCTCTTAGTCTGCAGTCTTACATATAAATGCTTGACTGGCCAATGGAGGTACTTGATTCCTCTTTATGAAAGAGGATGTGGGAAATAATGTGTAGACATGACTTGTTCCCTTTTTCAATAAAAAGCAAGGGTATTTGTTTACACTGCAGATGTATGTTCTTTAAAAGCTTTGAAACAAACGTTACTTTAAGTGTTGAACTTCATTTTGAGTTATCAAACATTAGCTTGTCACTTTGGAGATGGAAACCAAAGATTTTTCAGGCTCTTGCTTGAGAAAACATGAAGGTAAAATTATGCAACCAAATCTTGAATTAAGCCAAAAGACAACAGAATCTAAGAATCTGAGAATTGAATAGCTGCAGTTAATTCAGTGTGATACTAGTCTGTGGAGGCTTATGGAAGCTGTCACTTTTCTCAGCCACAAACCCTATGACAAAAGAACTTGTAGTTGTTAAAGGCTTTAGATACATTGAAATAATGGGCCCTGACTATAACATGAGTAATACAGCTGATAGAGTATTCAAGCGGAAAGGATTCCATAAAGACAACTAAATTAATGGTTGTCTTGCATTTTAATTTTAAACTATATATAAAGAACTAATAACAAATGACCTTGCAGGAGATAAGTGACTCTGTCACTGTGTTGCTTCAAAGTTGGTCTTCACTGTCTCCAGGTAAGAAGTAATCGGCATTTTGATGTTTTTAACAGGAACTACAGAATAAAGTCAACAAAGAACTGAGGACAAACAGTCTATTTCTCTCTTTAATTGCAACCTTAAAAAAAAGGTGTAGTAGTCTATGAAATTTGTTTGCAGAATTTGTAAGCAGAAGCAGGATATAAATGCCCTAATTGCAGTCAGGGTTATTCCAAGTTTTTCACACTGTAATGGTGAAGTACTTTGTTTCTGTATAGGTGGCAAACTCTGCTGTCAGTAGATGACCTGGTAGAGAAACTTGTGAAGAAATTGGAAGTGAATGGAGAATTAGACAACACGTACATCTTTTACACATCAGACAATGGCTTCCACACTGGTAAACTTTTCACTGTTTACTCCTTATTTGTAAGAGATCCAGGCAGTTGTGGAAAACTATAGACATGAGGAGTACTGATTTCAATTGCAAAACAGTCTGAAGTTGCAATGTAGGGTGTTTAGGGATTTTATTGTTGTTTTTTGTTTGGTTGTGATTTTCAGCATTAATCTCTACCAGTGTATCCTGGTATACATAAAAATAGGATGGAAATTAAGGAAGGGACTCTATTTTCTATAGGAAGGGTTGGTATAAGAGGGTTAACCCGTAAAAATCTATCAAAGACCATCTGTACACTTTGTACAACTAAAAGTGCAGTATCTAAGCTGTTAAACTTTCTAAGATATGGCTTATACTTTGAAGTTTTCTGTCCTCCAATTTGTTAATGTAGTTCAGGTTAAGAACCTCTCTTTAAAAATTGACTGGTGGCAATTTTGTGGCCATAGCAGAGGGGATGGAACTAGATGATCTTTGTAAGGTTCCTTCCAACCCAAACCACTCCCTGGTAACACAAGGCTTATGATGTAAAAAAAAGAAGCCATTTAACTTTTTCTGTCTTCTGATGTTTAGGCCAGTTTTCTTTGCCAATAGACAAACGGCAGCTCTATGAGTTTGATATCAAAGTTCCATTGCTGGTTCGAGGACCAGGGATAAAACCAAATCAGACAAACAAGGTAAGAAAGAAACAAATCCCAATACAGTTTTATTTTTAGTGTTGTTTCACATTTACCAACTCTAGCTACTAATTTATTCCTCTGCATGTGTCAATGAAATGAAATACACCGAGTGGTAGAAAGAGCAAAGACCTCATTGTAAAAAGCTTTCTGTTCTTGCTTGAATCAAATTAAGCAATTGCAGGTCACAGAAGCAAATGAAATTTGAACTCACTTCCCAAATTCCTCACCATTGCTTTTCAATGTTACAGGGTTCATTAGCCCACAAAGGTGAAATTAGGTAGAGTTTAGATGCATGTAAAATTATGACTATTTAAAATAGGTTCTGAACTTCTGACGTTAAGTTCTTCTCACCCTGCAGATGCTTGTTGCAAATATTGATTTGGGTCCCACTATTCTGGATATTGCGGGGTATGACTTGAATAAGACCCAGATGGATGGGATGTCACTATTGCCACTMTTGGTAAGTAGGGGGACAGGGATAGTAACCGATAATTCTTGCAGGGGTAATTCTTCAAAGTGAATGTTCCTTTGATAGATTAGATTGACTCATAACCCTGATTCTTCCTCTGATGATATTTTCATATGGGATGCTTATAGCTGAGTGAAGAAAAGTAGGTATGTTGTTTAAATGCATATGTATTTTCATGAACACTACAATATTATGGTCATTTTATGATAGAAAGTTGTGTCATCCTTTGGCTAGTTCTCACATTTGTCATAATTCCTGTTTTGAAGCCTGTATGTTGTTTCCACCTTGCATTCCCCTTCCCCTTTTCCTTAACATTTCTCAGCATAGGAATAGGACAAAAGTAGATTGTTCTTATTAAATCTTCGATTTGACTCCATGTTAGTAGTACTTAGTGTTTCCTGCCAGCCCTAGAAAAATGCATGTGGTTTTATAAAGTAAACTTGACCTTTCCAATAGGTGAGCAGAACCCTGTTTAAATAAAGCTGCTTGCACTTGATCTGTCTAGTTTTAATTAAATTTAGTCTATAAATTGAAGGCAGCTTACTTGGAAAGTAAGCTTGGAAAGATCATCCAGACTTAAAATGGTGCTTTGCTCTTAAAACCTTGTAACCAAACTTAAGCTGCTCTTTGTACAGTAGCAGGTAAAAGGCACCTAGTTTAAACTCTGGTGGATTCAAATCTGAAACTCATTGTTTTACTGCATATGTCTGTGATGGTGCTGTATATGAACTATAAATAACCTGTCCCTTTGTCTTTTAAAATGCAGCTACAAATAGACCAGCTTAAAACTTAGTTGTTTCTTAAAGCTGTTCCTTTTTTTTGTTTGGTTGTTTTTTTTGCCAAGGCTATCTTTTTCCATCTGATGTGGTAATGTAATACAAATCAAAAGGAAACAGCCTTGTTACAGGGATCTTGTCTCTAGGATGTTTGTGTCTGGCCATGTGGCTCCTACTTGGTATTACTGCATGATCCTTTATAAATTGAAGATGGTACTTTAAACCCTCACAAGAGGGTGTACTAATATTTTTGGAGTTTAATCCTTGTCTTCCAGTTACACAAGACCTTCTGACATAAAGCTAAATAATTAAGACTGATAGTGCCTGGTAAGAAGTGGGCAATGTTAGTGTTATTCCAAGCACAGAGAATTTCTTCCGTTTCACAGTGCAGTGTATACTAAGTTGTGTTAACCTCTTGTTACAGAGAGGAGACAGAAATGTCACATGGAGATCAGACTTCCTGGTAGAGTACCAAGGAGAAGGATACAATGGCACTGATCCTACCTGTCCTGGCCTAGGACCTGGAGTCACGGTAAGTAAAACAAGACCTGTTAATATTAGGAAATTGCTGCTGAATTAAACCTGTTTGCTGTGTGGGCCAACCTGGTCCTATAAGTAAGCTCCCAATGCGTTGGCAAGTAGGAGCCAGCTCTGTAGGTCCTATGCATCATTTGACAATTGGAAGGAGATGTCCAGCCATGTGGAACTGATGTGTCCATATGACCACAAGATCTCAATAACCCCTTCAGTAGGAATCTATGGGGCCTCAGGGCTGGAGACTGATGCAGGAAGGTGTGGGCTTAATCCAAGTGTGTGGCAGTGACACAATGTTCTTTCTAAACTTTCAGTAACCATATTGCACAATTCTTGTCTCTGACTATTATTTAAGCCACTAACTACTCTAAATCAAAGCAGGTTTGCTTTGCTTTAGAAAAGTAAAACATCCCATTGGTTCTGTCTTTAGTTGTGCATCGTGCTGCTCTCTTCTGCATATGTACATTTATTTCCTAGATAAAATGCGCTTACTCATAGTGAGTTTAATAATGTCATTCAGTTTTTGCTTAAAATCCCCAGTGGAAATTTTTATGCGTTAAATTAAGAGCCGGGTGTTCATCAGTTAACTGCAGTTAGCATGAGCTAGTGTATACCCTAGGAAAAGCTCATCTTCTGCCCTGAAGTTTCTGTTCACTGCTTGCTTCACAGCACTGCTTCCCAGACTGTGTCTGTGAAGATTCCTATAACAACACGTATGCTTGTGTACGGACAATGTCAGCATCCTGGGATCTGCAATACTGTGAATTTGATGACCGGGAGGTAAGTCTGTCTGACTAGCAGATGTCAGTGTGTCTGTCTGCACCCTTATCAGCTCTCAAGGTTTCCATGAAGTACTCTGAAAAGCAGAGTGGCATTGCTTGCAGGATAAACACTGAAGTACTTATCTCCTACTGAGAATGTTTGACCAAAATTGTAGTGTGGTTCTGGGAAGAAGACTGAAAAAAAAAAGAGGTGTGGGAGGTGAGTGAGGCCTAAATTATGATTATCACCTTCTGGTATCACCTAACAGCTTCACAGGGAGCTGTGCTGGACTGGTTTCAGTTCTCTTAGCCTACTTCCATGTGGCAGTCTCTTTTGCGTAACAAATATTTTCTGCTAACACTGTACCTCTGCTGTTTATGTTCAGCTCCAACTCTTTTACTTGGGAAGACCTGAAATTCCAGGCTAATAATTTTTCATCTATTGCTCCCTTGTTTGTCTGGCAAACAGAGCATTTAAGTTACAATTGTGAGAAAGGTCTCTGACCTTATTGTAAGTTGTTTGGGTATAAGGGGACATGGTGTCCTCCCCTTCAGAAGCTGTTCAGGTCTCACTAGGAAAGCATGAGCTGTATGTACAAAAGGTAGTTGTGCTTATTTGCACACAGCTTCTCCAACAAGAATATTGGGTTTGAGGCAGTTGGGTCACAGATCTAACAAACTGTGCTGTCAGCAGCTGTGCAGCAGCAGCATGAGCAGCAGCTATCCCTGGTAGTGTGCACCACACAACACATTTTATGAGGAACTTAAGCCAGGGAGTAAATCCCCCAAGATGTTTTTGCAGTTAGATAGTGTGAAAAGCTCTGCAGGAAACCAAAATGTCAATTAGCAGCCCCTGCCCTTTGTTTTTCCCTTTTCTGACAAATTATGATCAAGTTGAACCAGGTTTGTGGATTTCTTTGTAAAAGTAGACTCAGAAACTGACTTAATGATATGCTTCATGTCACTTTGAGTTTTTCTACTAAGAAGGTATGCATGTGACATTTTTGGGTTGCTCTGCTTACCTGGGCTAGCTAAAATAAAACCAGCAGCATGGGGAAGGTGCAACAATGTGGCTTCTATAATCCTCTGGTGAACCTTGTAAGAAAAAAGTCAAAGTCTGTCCAGGTATGTCTTTATCAAAGTTACACACACAACTCAGCCAGTTTTTATCAGTATCATCTGCAGTTGGGCCTCCTACTCAAGCACAGATAAGACCACAGCTAAATTCTTGAGATACTTTTGACCAGAATTTGACCCACAGAAGTGTCTAGAGATTTAATCTACCAAAAAACAAATTGCCATAAAATCCTCTAGGCAGACCTCAGAGCATACACATACAGAATAAGCTTTTTCTGTTTGTGGCTTTAGAATACTTTTATTCAGTGTATTTTGTACATGAAGTCAAGACACCTGTCTGGGTCTGACAGCTCTAAGTATCTGATGAGCATAGAATGTTGATGTGATGGTCATGAAATTACATATTTTGAGATCCAATAATGAAAAGACTGCCAGCTTAGCCAAGGCCTCTTACAGTATTACAGTCATAAGACAAGTTTCATTTATGTGTTAGCAAAGAATCTGCACTTGCAGGTAGAAGTAATAACTTTTCCAACAAAATTGTGCTACTGCAAAACTTTGTTTTGCTGGCATGCTGTCTGCTCTTTGATCACTTAGCTGCATTGCTGAGCACAGCTTATGTGGGGGGCTGCTACAGTGGAGTTCAAAATAATATTTGAGAATATATATAATAATATTTGAGACTTTGTGCTGCCATTCAGGACTTAATACAGTGCAGGAACTTTCTTCTACAGGTGTTTGTGGAAGTGTATAACTTGACTGCAGATCCACACCAGATCAATAACATTGCTAAAACAATTGATCAAGAAATTCTAGAAAAGATGAATTATCGACTAATGATGCTGCAGTCCTGCTCAGGGGCAACGTGCCRTACACCAGGTGTCTTTGATCCCAGGTAGACACTGATCCACTTTATTATTAGAAAACTTTTTAATATAACTATGTACCTCTTAAATTAGGCTTTTATAGAGGGTATTTGTGATGGAATATATTATTGTCATTCATATTGTTACTTAATAGAGATGTTCTTTTTGATGCTTTTATTTTTTAATGCTTAATCTGTCTTTTAACTTACCAAATATAACTTTGATATATGCTGTCAGACACTGTTGACTTAGCACAGCTGTACAGTTCAGCTGTTCTGAGTAGTGAAGAGACTGACCTCAGGTTTGCCTGCAAACAAGGAAAAGCTCTGCTGGATTCTATAGGCAGTCATTTCCCAAGTTCTGCCTATGATTGTTCCTGGAGTTGCTGTTAGCAAGAATGTTTCCTACAGGACCTGAGCTGTATATATTAGCTGTTGTAGGTAAATAGCACTTTATGGATCAAAACTCCATCATTAATCTTTTTTAAGATGTCCTTAGAGTGTCCTTAAAGTGCTACATAAGTTTGTAATTTGGGGCAGCAAAGCTTTGAGTTAGAATGTAGCTCCTGAATGGTTGATGTTATACGTGTCCTTGTGCTGCTGCTACATTGTAACTCGGATTTATTTCTTTGGAGACTCAGCTTTTTGGTTTCATGTTGTTACAATGTATCTGTTGTAATGCGGAGAAATTGTCCCTGCTGTGTACTGCTGAGAAAGCAGCTTCTCACATAGCCTGGTACCAGAGCTCTGAGCAAAAAGCTCTCCCTAGGCATGCTGGTCACTGCAGGCCAAGCAGCTCACACTGGACAATGTTTCTTTCTGCAGGTACAGCTTTAACCCACGGCTCATGTTCAGCCATCATGGCCCACGGGCTCGGAGGTTTTCTGCRCAGTTCTTATAACACCCTAAGAGCCTCTTGCAATGGGCTCCAACTGACCAGTTTCTCCAGTGACTACAGCAGGTCTGTCTCTGTTAACTTTCGCTGATCACAGCTGGAAGACTTTTAGTGGGCTTTTCAAACGCTGTTTGGAAGGAAATCCCTTGTCTTTAGCTGGTTGCCTTGTGCAATATATATATTTTACAGCTGAACTCTAACTGTAAATTGTTAGACAGCTAATCTGTCTTGCTCAGATCGTTGATTACCACCTTTGTCTTTCAAGTACCTTTTCATATCAGAGGCACACAGGTGAACCTATGCCTATGAATCTGAACATTTTATTTTGTTCTAAAAAAAATCAATAGATGTGTATTTGAGTCAGGTTAGATAGGCAGGGTGCTATTGCACAGTAATGCTCACCCATATTCAGTGTCACAGACCTTCTTAAAAGCTATGCTTAATTATAGGTTTCCTGTATTGAGCTCCAAGCTGTTAATGACAATAGCAAACTAGCCCAAAAGAGAGTAGGAGGGCATTAGTCAAAAGCATAGGATATGGCTAGCGAGTGTCTTGTGCAGAATTAAAATCTATCCACTAGTGTCTTTCAATGAGACCACTTCAGATGAGACCAATGATTTTTGTAGGACAGCTTTGGTAGCTTGCAAAGAAGAATGTAATTTCAGCCTCCTGGTTTGAAATGCTAGCTGRGTTACCATGTACTACTGAAAAACCTCTTAGGGTTTTAGATGGACTGACTTCCTAGTGAGTTAAACAAGAGACTATTGAGACTAACAATTGTTCAAGTAAGTGTGCCTGTGCTTTGAGCTATATCTTAAGTCTGTTTTTAATATACAAACAGAAGTAATACTAAAATAAACAAAATCCAGCGACCAGGGCACCACAGTAGAGGTGATCTGTCTCTAACCTCCAAATTTCTTGAATTGTCTAACTTCTTATGTTGATTAGATTATTGAAGGTAAATTATTTTGAAAGCAAACTAGCTCAAAATAAATCATAGAATCATTGCTCACTAGACATTAGGCTAAGAGCTATTTTAGGCAGTTTAAGTACTTCATAGAGTGTTGCTTTTTGGTTGAGACATAACTACTTGGAACCTGCAAGTTCCTTGCAGGAAAAAGTGGCCTTCACACCAAAGGTCTGCATGTCAGAAGTCACTTGGTTTCCCTCTAAAAGGGTGATGTCTTTTCAACCTTCTGATCAGGCTTATCTGAAATGCAGCCATCACGTGCACCCAAACTCGAGTATCCTTCTAAATCTTGAAAAACACACGAGCTTGCATTACCATGTAACTTCTGTATAGATTCATTGGCAAAACACCATCTGGAAACACTGAATTATTGATCTTCTGCAAGACAAGTTTGTGTTGCCTCTGGGCAAATCAGCTGTACTATTGGGCATGATAATCATTCCCTTGTCAAACAAACTCTGGCAAACTATTTAGTGTTCAGCTAGTTATTTCACATCTCTTACCCCAGTAGAGAGCATTACTGTTTCAACTAATCATTAAGTAGGCAACAAAGTATGAGTCAAAACTGTGAGGGTGCATACTCCAGTGTGCAGATCCACCAACGGGATACAAGCAATGCTACAATAAACTGAGTTGAACTTTCTTGGCTTTTAATTCTGAGGCACGGAAGTTGTCCTTCATGTAGCTTAGAGTTGCAAAATTCTGTTGTGGTCTACAGGTTAGGTTTTTATAGAACTTTTGTTTCAGATCTCTCAGAAGTGACCAAATACTTGGAGAAAAAAAAATTGCTTGAAAGGTAACTTTTCAGCTGAAGCATCTGTATAAATGCGGAGGGTGTTGGATATTCAGATAACTTACATGCTTTCAAAAACTCAGGACTTTTTTTTTTCTCAACTGCAACTGTAGCTTTATCCTGTTTTTTTGTTGTTTTTTTTTCTCAAGCTTTAGTATTGCCCATCAGTATCCTTCATATACTGTTTTGTCCCTAGAAACAAAACCAAAGTTGTCTTCATGCTCCCAAGGGTTTTCTTGCACATTGAGCTCATGTAGGTAGTGTTTTGCTTGGAGAATTCTAGCAACTTAGACTTGTTCTTTGTTTAAACTTCATTTTGGTAGCTCTGTGGAGGCTAGTGTGAAACACATTGACTGCTGCAAATTAAACCCTCAACAGTCCTATCAAACCTGGGTCGTACATCAAGTTTCTGCTTAAGTTTCAGTGCAAGTAATGTGCATTCTGTTGCTCCTTAGTAAAAAAAAAAGAAACTTTGTTATGGGTACAGAAATGTAACTCTAATACAGTCCTTTGTAAAATTGATTTTAAGCCCTTACAGGGATACTTCCTTTGGAATGATTTATTTTTTGCCCAATTAGAAATACAAAAGTTGACAGAATTGATGTAGATTATTCAGTATGAGTGACCAGATGTTTAACCAAATTAATGCTGTCTGGACATACCTGTAAAGCATTTTGTTGCAAGGCTCAGTAACTTACACATTGACTGTGTAAATCTGAAATCTGGCATAGGTAGTAAATGTATTAAATTGAAATTCAGAATTAATCAGTCCTTAGTTAGTGGTTCAGGAAAATATTTTATTTGCTCCCACTTTTGATAAAGACTTAGAACTGTAAGCGTGGGATTGAAGGAAGAACAGGAACCAAGAGCTGTCTGCCTTCCATTGCTTTTAAAGCAGTTTATCACTTGTGTCTGTTGCCRTAAAGCAGTTGAGTATTTTTACAGCCTCAAATGAACAGTGTTAATTCTTATCCTTGATAATTAAAAAAACACAATGAAGGATCTTTGACTCTTATCCAGATCTAATTCCCAACTAACTTATTTTAAATCTAAATTATCTTTCTGGATATTCCATTTCATGTGTTATTTGACCATGGCTGTAATCTGTACCTTGTTACTGAAGGCATTCATGTTAAATGTAGAGTTTTTAARAAAGGGCCTTACTGGTACAGAGTTGAGTTTAGCAAAAATATGATAATGTTTTTTACTTTTTTAAAAAATGGTTATTATCAAAAGCAGAGCTGTGAATTTTTAATGATCTGATCTGGTAAAGTAGATACTATACAGGGAGAAATACAATTAATAACTTCATTRTGTCACCCTAAACCAAACCAACATTCATTCTCATCACTTCAGCATAAGTGAGTACAGTCAGCACCTGCTTACCCAGCATGGACTTAGTAAACTGGGCTTCTTCAGTCTGGGGCATAAAGCTGTAGCAGGGACATGTATGTGGAAATACACACCCAAAGCAGGTATAATAACTTTTCAATCAAGTTAGATTTAAAATTGATTAATCAAGCTGAATACAGTATTTCACTATAATGAAACAGCCGTCATTTATTGTGATTCAATTTAAATGGATTTTCTTTGTATGACTCTCTCTGTATGTGAGCATACTTTGCTGTAGCATGTTGTGAGCATATTTCTGCTGTTTTGAACATCTGTTTAGAAAGTGCCCTTCCAGAGGACCCTGTTCACTGCTGCACTTTGAAGAAAGAAAAAATAAACTGCCTATCAAACTTCCTATTTTTGTACCTGAGCTTGAGTTAAACCTTCCTACAGAAATAAGCTGAGTCACATGTCTAATGACTGAATTCCTATTTTATAAGCCTTTAAAAGCCTCTGCGTTACTGCCCTGCTATCTAACAAGGGTATAACTTCATATAGCCACAGGGAACCTTATTACAGAGTCCAGCAGGAGAACACCTGACTACTTTGCAGCAGGAAGAAACCCTGAGGGGAGGGGGCAAATTGAAATGCAACCCCTACTTGCTCTCATTTCATTGGAAACTGGGGTCATTGAAGAGATGGAAAACAAAAAGCACAATGGATTAAGACCAGTAAATTCTGCCCAGGGTAAAGAGGAAGTATAAAATCCCACACAAGCCTTTTTCCAAAATGGGAACTGTGACCAACAGTAAGATGCATGGTACTTCTCTCAATCCCTGTGTAACAGAGTTGAATTTCTTGGATGATTCTGTTTAAAAATATTACGTAACTTTCCTGACCTCCAGAAGGTGGCTTGGTATACCTTTACCCTATTCAAGTTTGAGGCTTTCAAAAGCTATTAAAACATGTATTTCTGCATTTTAGTTGCATATCTGTTTACAGTGTGGTATCAGTTTCATTTCTCCTTCAGCAAAGAGGTAGCAGTGTTTCATTACGTAGACAAAAATGTTTAATGGCTGCCTGAAACATGATGTTCCAGCTTATGAAAACTATAAAGTTTACTGTAGCACCTCAAGAAAAGTCAGCTCTATATTACGTAAATAGACATTAATATCACTGACAGCCCAAGTGACACTACCATGAGAGTCATGGGAGCTTGCCATATCTCCTTGTCATTAATTTCTAAGAACAAGCCATGTTTGTGAAGAGAACTGCTGCTACAAGGAATCACCTGTTTTAGAAAAAGATATACACAGTGTTAATACTTCATTCAAGGGATGGGGAAGGGGAATTCCATGATTAGGAAGAAAGGGCAGTGCTAATATATTGCTTTCCAGATGCTGTTGTAGGAAGATGCAGCTGTCAATAATTTGATAATGTCCACCAGATTGGGTTTAAAGCTGTGGTCCAGTAATTGCTTACACATCTCAAAGTAGTCAGTGTCTGCTTTCTCAAGGTGATGAAGTTGTTTGAACTTATTCCAGCTGCCAAAATCCACCTGTTTTCTAAGAATTGGAGTAAGAGGGACTTCATGGAACACAACTGAATCACCCACTTTCTCATTTTTCCTGTGCAAATTCTAGGGAAAAGCCTGATCCTTGATTCTTGCTCAGCAAGAATGACTTTGTAGATACCTATGGGTTGGCAGCAAAGGCATCAAGGATGAGACTAATGATTCAGGGGGATATTCTCATGCTGTTGATGAAAATTAGTGAAAGYATCAGCAGAGCTCCTGTGATTTCTACATTTCTGTCCTGAGGGTTCTGCCATGTTTTCAGGTAACTAAAACAGGCAGTAGATGAAAGGAAAACATTACAATGACTGATGAAATCAAGACAGTAAGCCTTCTCCTACAACGTGAAAATCCTAAGCAATTTGATTTTGGGTTTGTTGGAGCTGTGGTGTTTTGCTTTGGTTTTGAACCACCAAGACTATACCAAAAATGTGTAAGTTTTACACTAGAGGACTAACTACGTTTTTTACTGGATGCTTGCTTAGTGTTTTTCTCTTCTGCCTTTAAAGTGTTCAAATTAACAAGGCAAAAACCTCATAGAAGTATTTCAAGTCTTTTGAAATTGCATAGTAACTTCAAAGGCTTCTTTGTAGAGTATTAAAGAAAAAACACCAGCAGCAATTAAGCCCCACCTTTAGAAAATACTGCCCTCCTGCCTTTGGGCTGCTTCAGTCTCTGAAACAGCACAATGCACATGACCAATCCTAGACCTCCTGTTCAACAAAACACACTTTTAGTGTAAAGTCTGTTAGCTTTCTGGAAACATTTCTCTGATATGTCTTTCATTTACATAGATTGAACTAAAGTAGATACTGGATTTTTTTATGTGTGACCTCCATTTTCACTCAGCCTTTTTATATTTAAAAATGAGTGCTGTAAATTGTTAACAGGTGCTTTTAAAGACTGTACAGGTTATGCTGCCTTTCTGTGCCAGTATTACTAAAACCCTACAGGTTCTGACTTCAAGTGCTCATTAGACAAACCAGAGCCAATAAAAATATAGAAGTGTCTAATATCTGCTCACTCACATCTATGGAAAAATGTTAGGAGCAAAGAGGGCAGATTCTGAAAGTATCAGCTGACAAGTCTAGATTAAAAGAACTGTCTAGGATTAGTGGCATACAGACAGCACCTGTTCATCTGAAGGGAGAACTTCAGAGCTGATGTTCTAATACAACTTGCCCTGGGAAAAAAAAAAAATAAAAGGCTGACCTTTGCTGACGTAAAATATACTGGCATTCTAATTCCTCCTGAGACATGCTGGAAACAGCTGAAAATTCTGATCACATACCAGATTCTGTATTTAAAGAGAGAAATCTTAGACTTGTAATGCTATTTTCTCTCATGCTAGTGCAAGGCCACAATGCTATATTTAGGTTTACAGAGTTAGTGGAGGGGGTTTCACACTCTACTTCTCTCATGGGTCTTTGTGGTAAAGTGAAGGCAAAACAGAACTACTCTATCTGTTATATCCTGTCTTATTCATATGGGAAACACACAAGGACAGAACCAAGACAGTATTTTATACAGCATCGTGAAAAGTTAGACTTGGCAACACACAACATTTGCAGGATTAATCCTTGGATTTAAAATACACTTCTCAAAACTCGAGTTGTGAACTCCCTTTCCAAAAGTTTTAGAGGGAGAGGTAGAGAACAGAAAGTGCAATAAAAAGTCAATTTTTAAAAACCACCCTTGGGGAAACAGGAAGGAAACAGCTTTGAGAAGCCATTTGCTATTACTGGGTGCCTCCATGCAAGGTGTTGGGCTGGGTCCCTTTCAGAGCTACACTGCTACAACTGAAAACACTTCTCATTTCAGCTTGCACCAGAGCAATCAAGAACACTCCAGAATTACCCCTCACCTTGCTAGCACATAACACAACAAGGTGCTTTTCAGACAAACATGTCCTGGCTTATGCAATATTTCCTTGAAAAACACCACAAAACTAGTGCTAGCTGCCAGGCTCAGTGTCTGAAGTGCTTGGCTTAAACTCCTCTGGACTGGATGTTTCTCCATGCTGGCTACTGCAGGAATTGTATCTACTTACACATGAAGAGGAAAATAATTCCTCCAGAACAGGTAAGTCCTCAGTTCACAGTACCTAAACCCATATTSCTAACAGGATATCAAAGTGTGTCTCCTTTATCTGGCTTGAATTTTCACCACAGTCCCTGCTTCTTCACCAAGCAGATGTAGCACACGCATAACTTAACCCATTTCGAAGTCATCTGCTTGCCTTCATCATCAACAGTAAGAGACTCTGAACCTTTCAGTTATCCTGTGAGGATTCTTTGTCCATTCTGCAGCTTTTTAATCACTTGATTCAACTAAGGCAGGAGGTGACTTCTCAAAATGGCACCAAATTAATTATAAAGTAGATGGAAGAAACAAGACAACACTGGACTAGAAAGTTATTTGAAAGGAAAGTATTAAGACTTTATTCCAGAGATTTAGTAACAAGGTTGGTTGGTTGTTTTTTTTTTTTTTTTTAAATACGTTAAAACTGGTAATTCATAAACTAAGTATTCTGTGAAGCTTTGAGGCCCAAGCTAAACGTATACACACTTTTAGGAGGTTGTTTTTTGTTTAAATTTTTCTGACCCATCATCCTAGACAGTTTTATTCCTTATCATTAGTCKGAGGTATACGAACAATTTCCCTACATCAATGTATGAATACTGCACTAGTCAGCATTGTTTTGCTTGAAATTAACTTGTTTAAAAAAGTGTTTCTATTTTCCAGTTTTATAGGAGAAATGCAATTTCTCCTGCATATGAACTTAAATAGCATGATTTATATGCTCCTGCAAGACAAAAAGTGTAGGAAAAGTTTTGAAAGCACAGTTATTTCCCAACAAACACAAGTGTGSTATTGAACATTAAAATGAAGGAGAACATACCTGAAGAGTTTTGGATCAATGAGAGATGTAAAGAGTGAATACTGACAACTGGCAATCCCCATGTGGGGAATGTGGGAAGAAAAGAAAGCCACTACATACACACATACAGGAGGACGCAGGAAGGGAATGAGTCTGGTGGGGCTTTTTACAAATGTTAAAAAATTTCACTGATAAAAATTAATCCTGAAGGACAACAAAGCAGACTGTGACAACCYGTAGATCCTTGGCATGGAGAGAGTGGCCTGACTGCTCCACAGACAATGCCACTGTCCTGCTCTGCCTCTGCACAGAACTCCTCGGTGCCCAGGTGGATGATTCTGTCCCTGAACTAGCCAAAACACAGTTTTGTGAACCTCCACACACAAGGCTTCTTTTGCCAAGTTTATTTCTAGTAGTCCATAACTGCCATAGGCATGGACATGAGCTCAGTGACGTGTGGGCAGCAGCTTTGCTGACTCGAGTATCTTTAAGGCCTTTTATCCATCTCAGCCTGGCTGAGTGCTGAAGTTTGGCAATTTTGCATGCCTTACCGAGTGCATACACAGCCATAATGTGGTTGTTGCACTCACCAAGCTGTGAGCTCTCACATAAACCAGCCCTCAAGGCACTGGCTGAGCCACTGCCATCTCCTGCCCAGGGAAGTGCCACCAAGACCAAAGCAAACCATTCAGCAGCTCCCTTGCACCAACTCAATCAGGGAGGAATGAACCACTTTTAGGAAACACAAAATAAGTAACTAGAAAATTAAACACAGATGTTACCAAAGAAAACCACTAAAAAGCCACTAAAGGTAAAAAGGAGTGAAAGGTGTTTCCCAGGGAGTGAGGGCCAGGGTATCACCTCCAGCCTTGGTGTAATGGCCTTGTTCCTGCAAGGTGTTTTCAACAGAAGGAAACCAGCTCTGTCTGCCCACAGGATTTATTGCTGCTTTACAACGAAATCTATTTGGCCTCAAAGTGATCACAACATCACTAGCAGGGAAAGGAAAAACCAGACACACATCACGTCACGAAGTATTGCCAACTTCAACTTTAATAATGGAACCATCAATTTTTTTTGCCATTTCAGTAATAACTTTCAGGGGAATAAAAACTTCCCTACAAAAATAAAACTAAGCTTGTTAAAATTATAAATAGTTTAAATGTTTGTATTTAAAGACATACATTTTAATGTTTCCCTGCAATACCCCTCCCTCATCATTTAATCATTCTGGTACCATCATATAATGACAAGAAAACAGTTTTGCAACAAAAGCTTTGACAGTTCAATTTGATGCCAAAATTAAGAAAAGATAAAACTGACCAGGCATGACCATTTCTTTTAAATTAAAGCTGCTGTAATTGCCAGTGTGTAGAACAAAAAAAGAAAAAAATTAACTCCACACATGACATCTTACAATAATTAACTGTGGACTAAGACAAAATTAAAATATAAGTTTATTTTGGTCCCCCACCCCCATCCCCTTCACCCCAAATCAAGACTCATAGTGCATACAACACTGAGGTTTTTGGCTAAAGTAAATGCAGATGTGCCTACTTTAAAAGACCGGTAGTTTAGTTCAAGTAAAACCAAAATTCACATATTTTCATACTCAACTTTAAAACTCAAACAGTGTTCAAATCTGAGCAACAAAATGTTTCAATAATGACAGCGATTATGCAATTATTATGTAGCTATGGGCAGATATATAAATTACAGATGTTAACAGAATACCCACCAACATGCTGCTGCATTCCTAGAAAAACAAATTGTAACAAAACACAAAAGCATTCCCTGAACCATTATAAAGTGTCTCACTTGAAGATAATGTTACTAACTCACACATGCACTACAATGTTACATGTGAAATTAAAACAACAAACAAGATATGCCTTAGATATATTTTATGGTTAGTCCTGCTCTTAATTTCTCTTAACTCTTTAAAACATTATGATTGTCGCATCAGCTTGCAAATTCTTTTTACCTAAAAAACGTGTGAAGAGTTTAAAAAAGAATCTTACTAYGGAAAGGAAACAAAGGCACAATTACATAAAATTAAAGGGAAGAACAGAAGCATCTTGGAGTTTCACACAGTATCCATTAGATGTCACCAAAGTTTTAATAATTCCTTGGGAATTTAAAACAAACCCATTAAGAACAGAGGGGAAAAAGCCCCACCACAACTTCTGCTGCTCTTCAATCCTTAGCACTCCACCACTCCCCCACCCCCCAGTATATAACTCATTTCCTCTCTGGCATGATGATGACTACAGTATCAATCACTCAAATCTGCCTCATGCTTCCATGCTTCTATTGCACACCCACTTCTTTGGTTTCTTTTGAACATGCTTTTTTAGATAAATAACTCTGAAAGAACAACAATTATATTTACACTAAAGTAAAAAGTCTTCTTGCTACATTTTTCCTACTTTTAAATCAAGTAAATCAGCAGTYTGCAGAATTTGGTAATCAGTTTTTCAATTAAGAGTTTAAAAACCATAAGGAAAAAACCTTTTGAATAATCAAAAGCAAGAGTTACTAAGCTCMGTCACCAACACAGACAATAAATGTTAACTTTCTGCTGGACTGGAAATGTGAATAAGAAATTCTACTTTCTTTGCCTGACTGGGCCTTTAACAAACAAAGAAGCAGAGGAAGCTACTTCTGTCTTTCAGATATGGTAATTCAAGATTATCCAGCCTAAAAAACGGATCACTGAGCCAGAGAAAAGATCTGACTTACAATAAAGACCAAATATATCTGTAGTTGTAGCTTTTGTCCGAACTCTTGCTAGACAGGTATTTCTCACAGAGTTATCTGATACATGGACCACTTTTCAGAATTCAAGTAAGCAGCTTTTTAGGTTTGCCACTCTTTTAAACTCCCACTATACCTTTATGGAACCAGCTTCTCCAAAAATTACCTGTATGTGCAGCTCCATTTCCATTCTTACTTAGCTTTTGCTTCTCTCTCCTTCCCACTATTTCTATTATCTTTATTTCTTTTCCAGTGTGGATTTACACAGTTAAAAACCATAAAACTTATTCACAATATTATAACATACTAAAACTTTTACCTTGTAGAATTAGTACTTCAACTTTCCTCTGTGTAAATACTATTTTAATATAAAACCTCCTCTGTCAGCTATTAAGAGTTCTTCTCCCCCAACTCTTACCTTTTTTTCAACTTCCTCTTTACCTTCTTCAGAAAGACCACTTWAAAGCTTTCCACAAATTTCACAGTACAAACCACAAGATCTCATATGCCTTCCATCTATAACAGTTCTCTCACAAGTTATACAGTAACTCTTTGAAAACAGAAAGGTAGTGCAAATCAATTTCATGTCTAAGATAGTGCTCCAAATAATTCTCATCCAAATGGCTTTAATAACTTTTTTCAACCCATCAATTTGCACATCCTTACTTGTAAAGATACCATTAAGCAAAGAAGGAAAAAAAAATTCTTATTTCATAGCATCCTAGGAAATTGCTTACAGTTTCACAGCTTGCACCAAGATAACTTGGGAAACTCTAGGCACACAGAGGGTTGCAAACTGATGTACAAACATGCAGAATCCCTTACTTATGGGTGCAAGATGCTAAGTGACCCGCCTTATGGAACTAAGTCTACCCTGGCATCACAAAACAGTCTTCTGAGAAAAGAAAACTACTCTCTGCTGCTCTCTGAATGTTGAGTTTGGCATGCTCTAACGACATTTGGTAGCGAGTGTTTTCCTGAGTGTCCTTTGGCCCCCTTTTAACCAGGTTTCAACACCCCCCGAAGGGCTTCTTCAAGTTTGCCCCTGTAAGCTGCGTAGCGGTTCTTCAAGATCTGCAGTTGGTCATTTTCCTCTTTGTCCAGTATGCGCAAGAAGTTTTGCAGTTCAGGAATACTAAAAGCTTCCCACTGAAAAGACAGAACAAAGAATGGATGAGATGAACAGAAAAAATATAAAAATCTTTTCTACATACAGTATTTCTAAACAAAACCTCAGGCTCTGCAGGCAATTTCAAACTGAAACAGTATTAGGCACCTTCCTTGCAAATTTTAGGGCATCTGAAAATATTTTACTCTTTTAACTGTTYTTTGTTCTGCAAGTAACAACAGGTCAGTCTAACCACAAATGAAATGTTTGCAAAAGGCACAAAGAAATCAACAGGAAAAAAAAAAATTTGCTTCAAAAAAATCGAACTGTCTGGTCAGCACAGCTCAAATGAAAGCCCAGTCATCCATAAAGTTACACAAACACACTGACCCAGCACGGGTGTGACATACCATGACTTCTCCAGTTTCATGCTCACGTAGAACAAAACTGAGCATTTCCGTTTTGGGGCCTGCCACCAAGCGCAGGTAGAGGGGATGTTCTCTGTCTGACAGCTTGCATGTATAAACTGCAGGAGAAGGAAACCACAGTAATTATCATCTTTACCAACAATGTTTCAAACACTTGGAATGACTAATGCATGTGTAGCAAAAATTTGCACACTATCTATCAGTTTACATACTAGTTTTGAGTGGTGAGTTTTAGGGAGCAGCTGAGAAGGGGATGGATGGTGACAGGGCAACACTGCATTTATCCACGAAAGAAATGGCCTCCTGTCAACACAGTACACCATCTGAATACATGCAGGGCAGGGGGGAAAAACACAAGAAAAAAATACAACACACAGATCTGTTGCTGTATCTAAGCATTTATGACATCAGAGCTGTTCTGATATCTTTACCACTTAAAATCCCACACACAAAATCTAAAAGACAACTCTGCCTGCCTGCCAGCCAGAAACATTGAAACTCCTGAAACTGCTATTAATGTCCAAGGAAGGAAGGTGGATTCTAAGGACAAGCACACAACACTGGCAAAATGCACCTTTGCCTAAAAAACSCCTTTTCCATCTTCTATTATTTCCATCACGAAACACAACGAACTCCTAACAGCAGCCAACACCCAGGGAGAGCCACGTGCACTAACACACGTGAGCACAACGTGCTCGACGTGTCCACGGTCATCACCTCGAGAGTGGTCTGCCAGGGCCAGTACCTCAGGCACCACAGACACCAAGGTTTATCTTTTAAAAACCTGTCCTGTAACCTAACCTGACAACTCTGCAGTGTATCAAGCAAGCTGAAATTTAGGACCTCATAAGGGGGCACTGCAACATGTGTCGTCTCACAGGAAAGGTATTGCTTCGGTAATTCAGACAGTTATTCTATCTGGTATATCTTCTGAGTATTAATTTTGCTTATTAATAACTATTGAGTAACAATTTTTTTCTTAATAATGTCTTGGATTAATTATCCTGAAATACCCCCCAATCTTTCACTGTCTTCCCAAGCTACTTTGCATAAGGGAAAAAAGACAAGGTTGGAAGATCATCACCCCCATTTATCTGAGTCCTYCCACTTGGCTTATTTGAAGTATTACTATAGCACAACTCCCTCCTCAAACCCTTCCACTACCAAAATGCCACAAACTCAGCTTATACCTTGATCTTCCTTGTGACAGCGTTTATAAAGTGCAAACTTTGCAGGATTGTCAGCCACAAAGAACTTTTTGAGCAAGGCCTCGATAACTTCCCGAACAGTGTTGGTGCTGCTGATGTGAAGGGTGTTCACGCAGCCGTCCGGCAAGTAAAAAGCAGTTTCCTTATTGCTGAGAGCACAACCCCCCTGGCTCTGGGAGGACTGCACAGTGATGGGTCTGCATAGTTCCATCTGGACTTTGATGAAGCCAGTGTAAATCCCATTCGCRTTCTGCAACGGGAGGAACATAACTGTAAAAATCAGCAAAGACCAGCCTTGGCACAGCAGTGGAGCAGGCAGATGAAAACACTCACAGTGAACACTATTTAAATACCACTGCAACATGTGACATCTCATAGGAAACGTTTTGGTAATTCAGACAGTTACTCTTCCTGGCATATCTTCTGAATATTAATTTTACTTATTAATAACCATTGAGTAATAATTTTTTGAATAATAACTGTTGAATTCTAAGTATATTAGGACCTCATCAAGCAACAGGTACAACATACCAGTGATAAGTTTTCTCTTAAAAGAGAACTGTGAATTGAAAAAAAACACTAACACCCATCTTTGACAACAAATTTTATGCACAAATACAGAAATTATCACCCACATTTTAGCTGTTTTTGTCAACTTAGTCTGAGGCATTTAGGTGGTCAAAACATATTGAAAAAAAAACCCAAACAAACAAAGAAAACAAAAACCCCTACAAAAAAAAAAAAAAAAAAAAAAAAAAAAAAAAAAAAAAAAAAAAAAAAAACCAGGAAAAAAACCAGAATAAATGCCAATCTAATCAACATCTGAAATTGTTTATTCCAGTTGCTTCTGAAAGATAAAACAACAAAACCAATAAAACCCTAGAGCTAAWAAAACTTTTGAAAATCTGAATTTAGGCATCGTAAGTTCCACTCCACATGCAAGTACATAAAAAAACTTTTTTCACATAGTCATACTTACATCATTTAGGATATAATGGAATTTCAAAATTTCAATTTACACTCACAGGAATATGTCATGTATTAGAAAATGTGGACAGCACAATAACTGAATAACAACTTGTTAAGCAGATAGATGTGAATTTTTTTAGTATGGTCTTCAGTAGACTGGACTGAATAGTAGACCTGGGTCACAATCCTTGGAAATGAGAAATCTTATGTATTCCAGGTTGTATTGTCTATGTTTGGGGGACAGGGGGAAGTTAAGTCTCTTTCTATGCTGAAAACCTATATGACTACTCTGAAAATTAACTTTCCTATAAATATTGCATGTTTTATCATTG